AGCCAGAAATCTTCTCACTCCAAAGGAGAACAGACTCCTTTCAAACCGGTTTGATAAGGCAGCCGTTCAAGACTCATTGGCTCTCAGTGTTCAATGTGCGGGCTCTGTATCCAATATGGGTCAGCGCCTACTTTCTCAAACTCACCAAGTTGAATCATTAATGGCTGAGGTTGCAAGTCTTAAACAAGAGATTAGAGGGCTCAAGCATGAGAATAGAGTGTTACACATTCTTGCAAATAATTACTCTACGAGCATGAAAAGAAAGCTCGACCAGCTACTAGAATCCGAAGATCGGACTCAAAATGACAATCGGGGCTTCGAGTGTTTATTCCAATGACATCCATTGTCTCAGCTGTCTGGAGTTCCACCAAGTATTGAGACTCCAAATAATCAACTTCTGGTGTCTCCCCCTTCTGGGGTACTTCCAAGTACTGAGGCGTCACATGAGCAACCTTTGTGAAGGCTCCCTCCTATTTGTTTGTTTTAACTCATGTGTATGTAATTTCTCGGAGATATTAATATATAAACTTTATTTCATTCAGTGTATTGTGCTAAATATAATAAAGCATATATTTCACTAAGATGTGGTACTTCTAGACCAAATATCAATTTATCTTTACCCTCGCGAAAATAAATGATCATTCTTAGTGTCTAAATCATTTGAGTAATCAACTCATAATCTTCAATCCATATGATTCTTTAATATCGTAAATATCATGGATAAGATTCGTGTTAGCATATTGTTCAATTCTGCAGTTCGAGACAATATTTCTCTCAACACTTTATAATCTTTCTTGACTCTTCAGGAGTCCCAATTTAATATCATCAACTCTTGCAAGAGATTTTAGTATGTTGCAACAATACCATAATGAAAGTACTCACTAAGGCAATTTATATCATTCATTGGTATTGAGTACATATTTTATGTTTTACCCTTCCAGGGCTTTCTTCAAGCAATTTGAATCCTTTAGGGATTTTCTACATTTTATAACACATTTTCCTTTAGAATTTATACAAAGCAATTCGCTTCCATGTATATTTGAAGGATTTACTTATGGAGATATGATGTGGGCGACTCATAACCCTTCGTATATAATTCTCCATTCATATGAACTCCTTTACAACCTTGCGTCATATCATGTGATGGTATTACAAATGCCCATATGTAACATTCTAGGTTCAACATCTTTTGGCTATTTGTATTGTATCCAAGTATATAGGTCTATTTTTCCACGTTCTTACAAAATTGTAATGGAATTGCCTTTTTCCATTTTGGCCCATAATTTTGTTGATGGAAAAAGAACGAGACTCAATATCACCACAGCTCATTGATGAATTTAGTAGCTACTTGTAAAAACCAAAATTACCATTGGTTATCATCAATCTGTGATCTCATATTCTCATGTGCATGCGCATGCATAAAAGCTTTCCATTTCTTTGGATATCCATTACTTCATCAAGGGCATTACACTATCTCTTCCAGGATAGTCGTAATTTAGAGAATGCGGATCATAACCTCCTTTTGAGCGTTATAAAGCTTGGATTTTAATCTCCACTTCGGGAGTTGAGTCATTGGAACTTATACGTCTATCATGCTTCATGCATAAGACATCAATATTCCCATGTCCGCGGATTGACCTTTTCGGAACAAGTATCCTTGCGGCAACTGTCATGCATCTGGCATGCGACAGTTATGCAATAGTTCAGTAGTGCCATATTCTTCTTCTTTCGAATGACTGAACCTTTTGAGTTTGAGGGTCTGCCACGCTTCAGGCGTGCAACAGATAAATCATTTTCTGCCATATTATTTTGTCCAACAGGGACATTAATTCTTGTAGGCACATTTGCAGCAAGTATATGTGATTTTATCACTTTCGTTTCATCATTAAATGCATCTAGTATTTGATTTGCATATCGTTGCATCATTCAATTATTCTCACTTCGTTTGTATATTGATTGCTTCATGAATTAAAATAAGACAAATTCTCTTCGTTCTTCTGGAACGGTTTTTTTTCTCATCATTCTTCTGGAATGATATTTGTTCATCGTTCTTCTGAAACGAAGTTATTTTCTCCCCCTAACGGCAGGAAAATTGTCTTATCAAAATGACAGTCCACAAACCACGCGGTAAATATATCCTCGGTCAAGGGTTTTAAATATTGAATGATAGATGATGTTCAACATCAATGCCTAATCCGCAATGATGCTTCATTTCAGTATGTTGTGGCAGTGCAATAGGCACATAGATAACACAACCAAAAACTAGTAAATATATAATGTTTGGCTGGTTCCCAAACACGAGTTGTACTAAGAAGTATTGATGGTTGTCAACAGGTCTCAACCAAATCAATAATGCATCATGTAAAATGACATGTCCCATGTAGAAACTTGGCAACTTCATTTTCATCAGCAGAACGCGGGTAATCAATTTCATCCGCTTAATAAATGTTTCTGCTAAACCATTTTTGAGTATGGACATAAGGAACTTCTGGTCCTTATTTAATAGTCTGCAGACTGAGACTCTTATGGCTTTTATTGCAATTAAGTTGAGGCACTTTGGCTCCTCAAACTTAAGGTACTCATCAAGGAACTTCATGTCGATCTTGAGGATCAAGGGGCTTTATGCCCGATCTTTTTGTTTGATGGAACTTCAGGTCCAATCATTTTTATATGATGAGGATCAAGAAACTGCATGTTCTGATCTGATCAAGGAACTTCGGGTCCAGTATGTACTCATCGTAACAAAAAAAGTACAATAAATAAATTAAAGCAATAGGCGGTAATTCCAGTCATAATGAATTTAAGTAAATAAAGCTTGTGACAAGGGCTTTAATTCAGCACCATTCACATAAATCAAAACTTAAAACAGTAGGCGGTAAAACCGTCCATGATAAATAAATTGTTTTAAAGTAAATAGAACTTGTGAAAGGGTTTTAAACCAACACCAATTCACATAAATAACAAGAAGTATCATACCTCCTTTTATTTATTATTTTTCTTTCTTCTGTCAGCACTTATTCAAACCTTATTATTGTTACTTTTTTAATTTCTGCAGCATGGTGCCATGCACCAACATAAACCATTTATATTATGTTGACCAAATGGTGTCATGCACCATTCAAATCCTTTCATATATATATATATATATATATTTCTGAGGTTGCAGTCAACATTCCTTTTTTTCCTTGTTCACATGTGCCTTGCCATTCCATCAATCCCCCTTTTCTATTATTTTTCTTCCTTCTCTATCTCTGCCAGTCTCGAAACGCAGGGCCAGCTCGGTAGTTATGGAGGTTGCCCAAATTCAATTCAATCCAAAAGGCTACTACAGACCGGCGTTGTTCTTGCATGACCCAAGGAACATGGCATCGTTAAGCAAGAACCTCCCTACAGAGACAAAGATGATAATGGGGTTGACGAAGGCACAAGAGAGGGAGGCATGTGTGGATTCATTCTTGCCATCACCATCTCAAACAACGAAGTATTCATGGGAGTTCTTAAGATTCGTCAAAAACAACGTGATCTGGGTTTCCAAGTCTAATGAGATTCTTCTGGATCTCTGGAAACCAGTTGTCAGGTACGAGTTTTCTCATCTCGTGACGACTTCAGGTCATAAATTTCAATTCTCACCGGAATTCGGTGGGGCGCTTCTGGCGCAGTGGGAGAGACGAAAAATGGACATACATTTTATTCTGTGAGATTTTAGATGACGAAGGTGAGAGGTGGATAGTGCTTTACCGGATTTATGGCGTTGTGCTTTCCACTGACATGAGAGTTTCTCGTGATGATAACATGTTGTAAAATCGACGGTGTGTGTGCAGTGGAATAAATAAAACAAGACACAAAATTTACGAGGTTCCTCTACAGTCAGTGTGACTGGAGTACGTCCTCGGGCAGCAGTGGTGCTTTCATTATAATTTGGAATAATACGAGTACAAAGATAACTCTATATATTCTCTCCTCTCCTCTTCCTCTCTTTCTCTGCTCTATCTACATTGAAAGCATACGGAGTGCTCTATTTATAGAGCAACTCCAAGCACACATCTTTGACGATATGTTCTTCCTTCATCTCCCAAATCAAGATTAATTTTATGGGCATTGAAAATCTACCCAATGTCTTCAGTTTCTATGTGGGCATTCATTACCCACTATTATTTTCAACATGTAGGGAATTCTAATTACTCCATCGGACATTTGCAGAGACGCAGTAAGGTTGACTTAAGTGGTTAGTAGAGTTGACATGGGCCACAATCTACTCTTGGGCCTTATCCTAAGCTTGCATCCAGGTCCAAGGCCACACTAAACGCAGGCCGAGTTTTAAGCTAATCTAATTTCACCCATAAAAGCCACAGGGTTAATTCGGGAGTTGAAAGAAGCATTGATCTCTGCTGCATTCTTTCACTTTTGTCAACCTCTTTTCTTTTCATTGAATCTTTTTTCAACGCCTTGTACGACGACACGGACAAAAGCAATGAATTATACAGCCTCACTCGGCCAGCAACTGTAATGGTGGGATTGTGGGGCGGTGGCTACTGTGTCAGACTCTTTTAAGCCATTGTGGATGGAGTAGCCTACGACAGATTCTCCGTCATTATAGCATTTCAATTCAATAATACAACAGCATGTATAAACTTTTTCTATAAAATCTTATTATTAGACTACAAAACACCCAGGAGAGGAATGTGATGCTTAGCTATCGATGAACCTAATTCCATACCATACCTATCACCAAAAACACCCAGGAGAGGAATGTGATGCTTAGCTACAGTGGACGGTTGAATTTGCATGTTTTTAATCTAAACATCTAACCGTTCATAAACTCAAATGCACCACATATACCGGTAAGCTGTACAACTCTTAATGACAATGAACATGGTAACGAATTAAAGATCTCAAATCGAAGAATAGAAAAGTTGCACCTTGAGAAAATACGTTTCTTAGCGTTGCACCGTCCACAACAAACTGGCTAAGTAATACTACGAACAAAACACCAACCCCTCAAAATAAAGAAAACGCCGTCGTACCTCTAAAATCTTGTTTCCCTAAATTTCTGAAGAGAGGGACCGAAATACAGACAGAGATACAGGCATACAAAACTAGTTTCCTCAAGGAATAGTCAGGTGAAGAAAAAAACACTAAACCCACGCCTCATCTAAGGTTCCGTCCTCTCATGTAGTTTTTGGTTTTGGAGCTCTTTTCCTGAGTTGTTGTCTCTTTGGTATCAATGTCTTCATGCCTACGAAAAAGAGCAGAGCCCCGAAGAATGCCATGTTCTGCAAATCATACAAAGTAAATCAGTAACAATGATTTAGCAGTTTTTTCTTTGGTTTTTCAGCTTTGCACAGCATGCCTCTCTTAACCTATCTTATCACCTAAACAAATTGACCATGGGGCCCCCGATATTAATAAAAAGGGGCAGCCTTGTGCAAGCAGCTTCTAAGCTAAGGGAGGATCCAAGTCACAACGGAGCAACCTTACTCGTAGGCCAATAATCATACCGTCATTTACCAAAAAGAAAATGAATTATCCTCATTCCGTGAAATTTAAATACGACGACCAAAAAAGAAGCAAAATTACATTTTCATCTTGGAGTTTGATCCTACTCACCTTGATTCCAGCAGTTTAAAACTTAACAGAAGTACCATTCTAACCATATCAAATTTTTCCAAATTAGTCGTTTCCTCATCTTAGCATATACACGAGCCGTCAATTTACCAGTAAATTTACGGTTTCATCCCTATAGTTTTTCCCTGGTTGCTCAGTAACTCATACATGTTATGTCTACAAATTTGACGAAATATCTAATTTTAAAATTAAAAGGATAACCTTGTTGAGTCCTAAATCAAAGGGATCAACATTAAAATATGGGCAAAACAACACGTATTAAAAGTGTGAGAATAAGGAAACTTGATTGCTAACCTGAGTAAACTGAAAAAAGAGTTGATTGAATTCTTTCTTCTCGGGATCATAGTTGTAGAAATCATACAAGATAGGAGTAGCAATGGCCTGATGCAGAAGCTGCACAAAAATATAGCGAAACACATGTTTTAGCGGCTAATTATTGACCTACGGGTACAAAAACAAGATCGAGATCAGAGTCTCAGACAACCAAATCACAGTTACAAACCAGCAAATAGGCGCCAATAGAAGAACCAAAGATGAAGAGAAGACCCCCAATGCCCTTCAATGCCACCATGGCTGCCACTAAATGTTTGATCTGCCAATCACAAAGTACAAAAGTCACTTAGGTGCCAACTGAAAACGATATTTCATCAAAACATTAAGAAGTAACTGAACTCAAGTAATTAAACTAAAGTAGTCTCTTACTTCAATTTGTTTGGGCACTTGCACACCAGTGTGAGTTGACAGATGATTCGAGAAAACGTCGAATTTTGGTCTCAGATATTCGGCTGCGGGTCCCCCGTCCACGCCAAATTCATTGAACCTATAAATAGAAACCAACTGTAAGCATATGAACTGTCTCATCAAAATCAAGCCTCATACAAAATGAATGATGTGAACTCATAACAATTAACAAGTATCCATTTTAGATCAACAGTCCGACAACGTAACGTACTATCGTAATTACTAATCTACATACCAAATAAATGCAATATGCTTAAATCATATCGTTTTACAACTCATATTCTTCAATTAACTTGGATCCAACTACGAATGCATCACCAAAACTGAAAAAAAAAAAATTGATATAGAAAAACAAATAAATGGTAGCAAACAACAAATTACATAAAAAAAAAATTAAGAAAATCCATGCATGCATGTTTGATGAACTAAAATTATACATCAGATTTTGCATAATTTAAACTTCAAAAAAAAAAATTAAAAGAAGAAAATAAAAAACAGGGAGGGGAGACAGAGATCTGGGCTTACTCATGCCAAGCAGAGAGGAAGAAGACAGAGGCGAAAAGAAGGCGTCCAACGAACGAAACGAAAGCCATGGTCGGATGCCTGTACGAGGAGAGACCCAACTCTCGATGCGAAGGAAGGAGGAAACAAGTAACTCGGACGGACAGGGCGAGTGCGATAAGGGCGGAGTAGATCTAGGGAACGACGTCGTAAAGCGGGCGACAGATGCACGCGTTCGAAAATTTAAAAGAGTAAAGAGGTGGTTGGTTGGATTCGAATATCTGGTACTCTCGGGAGTATTATAATGGGGTGTACTCGTGGCTTATTGGTGAAAGTTTGGGGATCCGCGGGCCTACGCGTAATTCGCTAACCGATCATTTTGGTTGGATTTGTTTGTCTGTATTGGGGACTAACGTGGCGGTTTTGGAAAGAGTGTGTGAGCGTTGTTTTACATTTTTGCCCTTGCAATGTTATGAGATTTAAGTTAAAGTGCTCTTCGCCAGGTAGTTGTTTTGCATCTTTCATTGCTTGCATTTACTTTTGGGATAACAACATGCTACCCATTTAGATTTAGCGGTTTTCAAAATGGGTTACGGAGTTGTCATGATGTTTTGAAGTTGTATTTATGTTTTTTGGGTGTTCGGCATTACGGTAGATAGGAAAATTCAATGACATGATGATTATGAACTTCATTTTTTTTTTTGTTGATGTAGATGCCGCATTTGCATCAGATAAATAAAAAAGTAATCATTGAGTTTCTGATTAGTCTTTGTCATTGCCTCATATGATCTAAGATGATAACTAGTTGCACAGCTTTGTCATAATGGTGCAAGTGTGGCTTCTATAATGCCACATCAACCACATCATCAATTTAACTGAGGATCGTACAAGCAAACATAGAGTAGAAATTGATACCATTATGAAGACAACCCTTGAATTACCAATATAAGGAGGAGGTCTCGAAGATTGCCTTCACGGTCCAGTCGGGTCACAGAGAGCAATTTTTTTGTACATTCAGAATACGGGTATATAATGTTATAATTTGCTCAAACTATAACACGTGAGTTTTATTTACTAATATACTCTAAAAGTATGACATGTTAATAATATTGTCTACTTTTATTATAAAACGCAAAATGGTATAACGTTTAATTTGTATTTCTAGAACTTATAAAAGTTTCACCACCAGAAGAAAAGGAAAGTCGTTTACAAAAAAAGAAAAAAAAAAATTTATTGAAACAGAAGACTTTGGCAAATGCACTGCATAGATTGGATCCCGACAATTATAATAAGATGGAAAGTGAAAGGGGCAAAAGGAAAACATTATTTGAAAATAACGGGCATTGGTAGAATTGTAATTAAAGAAAGGAAGCAAATGCGTGCATGTTTTCCATTGGATCTGGATTATTCCATTATTCAATTCCACGACTCATCACGTATATTGTTTCTTTTCACACCCTCTCCCAGATTTCCTTTTCCTTTTTGGTTTTGTTACTTGAATATAATATTACATAATTATTCAAATTGAAAATCTAATGCATCTGCCCACATCTCATGACCTCATGCAGCAGCTGTAGTCATCAGATGTAGATCAAGGCAAGTCAAATGATCAGGGTTATTGAGTGTATTCACGGTAAAAGTTTGATTCTTTATTTTTTTTTAATTAAAAAAAAAATTGTAAGAAGAATATTACCTATATGCTCCGCCAAAATAAGTATAATTCAAATAATTGTTATCCCTCCTTAAGAATGACAACATTATATCATATTGGGTTTAGGGTTTAGTGTTCGAGGCCTAGCTTAAATTTGCCATTGTGATCCTCGCCTTTATCTTTAAGTGGGAATTCCACCTAGTACGCTGGCATGACCGATTGATTTTAATATAGAATTAGTTTGTAAAACAAATTTGGACACAACTTTTGTTGGGTTTTAAAAACCAAAACCAAAACTTATTGAAGCCAAACCATTAAATTTGTTTCAAAAAATAAAATTCAGAAAGTAAATTTTGTTCAATAAACAAGTGATAGGGTCAAATAAAATCACTTCTTGTCAGTTGTCACACAGTGAACCATGGTAAGTCGGGTCAAAGTCCACGGCCCTTGTCCGGTTCGGATTTGGACTATCCAAGGGAACCGGGCTTAAAAATTTGCTTCTTTAAATAAAGAAGCCGAAACAAAACGACCGCCCGCACACCAACCCCTCGGAGAGTACGAACCCCGTCGTTTTCGGCACTCTGTCGTCGCTTCTTCTTTCTCCTCTTCTGCACAAAACAATGGGTTTCGTCTCCTTCCTCGGCCGCGTCCTCTTCGCCTCCATCTTCATCCTCTCTGCTTGGCAAGCGTAAGCGCTCTCTCTCTCTCTGTCTCTCTCTCTAGATCTGCTGTATTAGGGCTTCTCTCTCTACCATACATGCTTACTCCTTTAACTTGTTTACTGTTAGCTGATTTATTTTGCTTTACTTCTCCGATTTAACTTTTGTAAGCATGTTTCCGTTGGTTTTTTTTCTCAGATTTCTGATGCCTCTGCATAACATGTTGTTGTATATGTGTATATATATACATCTGTGTGTTTGTGTGTTTGAAATTTTCGAAGTGAGATTTCAGTAAAAAAATATTGTTTTGTAAGAAAACAATTCAAGTGTTCTGGGTTGTTGTTACGACTTACTGTTCGATTTATTAGTGTTAAGAACTGACTGAGATCTATTAATCTGTGCTCAGTTTCCAAATCCCGGTTGTTTTAATTAATCTCGGCACGTAGAGAGAGTCAGGTGGTTGAATGAATTGTGAAGTTCTAGTAACCTTTTGTGTTGTCTTATGGAATCTTGATTAAGCATAATTTTTTCCGACACAAAACGAACTTATTTGCGTATCTGTGAAGTTTGGTTGGGTGCTTCTTGTCTGGTCTTCTGTAAATGAACTTTGGATTTCTTTTGCGACAGACAAGGATGTGGGTTTGGTGGAATTGTGTCTAACAACTTATTTTATATGTGTAGAATCTTTTTTGGCTCCCTAAATGCTGGTTTGGTTGAAATGTTGATTCAAGTGCTTGTTGTCGTTAAAAAACTTCCATGTGTATATAGTTGGGATCCAGTTTTCCGGTCTCGTTTGTTTGTTTTGGACGGAATAATTTCCATGTAGAGTATGGAATGGCACTTAAGTTGTTAAATTTAATTTCAATGTGGTTTCCATTTTCTCTATGGCGGTCGTAAAAAGTATTGTTATTTCTATACTTCAAGACCCCCCACCTTCGTATTCCTCAGCACCAGCACACACATATGTAAATTTATTTATTTGTGGATATTAGTCAAGGAATTGGCCATTGAGGTGCTCTGACCAATGTAGAGTGAGGAGGTTTTTGACACGTGCCAACGTTTAACTCACAAAGAAAAGAATGCAAGATAAAAGTTGTTACAGTTCCAGTTTATAGTTTGTAACTCCTCGCATGAGTTTTCTGCCCTGATATTGTTAAGTTTCAGTATCTTCAGGCGCTTTACCCGTTGGTTTGCTGTTGTTTTAACTTTTACATATTATTTACAGCCTTGATGCGTATCCGTTTGTATGCTATATTGCAAGAATTATGCACGACTTTGCTAGGCTTGTTGTTGAGATTGTCAAAAATTCTGTTGCACTTTGATGTGTTTAAAAATTAAAACAATATCATGTTCCTTTGTGTTGATGGCACATCTGTATATGTAGGTTTAATGAATTTGGTGTTGATGGTGGCCCTGCTGCAAAGGACTTGGCTCCCAAGTTTAATGTGTTCAAGAAAAATTTGTCTGCTAAGCTAGGGGTTGCAATACCGGAGATAGACGTAAGTATTTTTATTTCTTTCTCTGCAGTTTCTCCCTTGGATTCTATGGTCATGTTGCGCATTCGTAGTTTGATTTTTGATATGGGAATTTCTTGTACAGGTAAGACATTTAGCTGCTGGTGTGGTAGCAATGAAAGGGCTTGGAGGACTTCTATTCGTACTTAACAGTTCCTTTGGAGCTACTCTCCTGGTTAGTATTCATTTTTTCCAAGTTTCTGATCAACATATTAGGCTTTTGAAAATTATTGACACATGTAACGTTTTTCTTTTGTAGCTTCTACAATTGGCGATTACCACTCCCCTTATCTATGATTTCTACAACTACAGTCCTGAAAACGCCAAATTTGGCATACTCCTAAATGAGTTCATGCAGGTTGGTATACACTGCGTATTGCTTTATATGTTTGTTCATCGTTTATCAATATTCCATGTGAGTGGCAACTTAATCTGCTGAGATTCCATTTTCTTTGTTGCAGCACGCAGCGCTTTTTGGTGCGCTGCTGTTCTTCATTGGCATGAAGAACTCAATCCCAAAGAGGCAAGTCAAAAAGAAGGCGGCCCCAAAAACCAAAACGGGTTAGAAGTATATCAAGGGGGTAATAGATCTTCAAGAAGCGTTTAAATTTTAGGTTGTTGAAGTTGCTGCTGCTCCCCATACTTATGACGGGGAGGATAAGTATTCTTATCAACACTCTTGTAATTTTATTCGAATGTTCTTTGGTAGGATTCATTACTTTGATTATTCCCTGTTGTGGGGTTCAGAAACTCTGTTTACTTGAAGATCTGAATTGGTTGTGGCCTGGTGGTTTTCCTTTGCTCACAAGTCATACAATCTGCGCTTACTAAATGAAGCATAAGATTCAGAAATCGCCGGTGGTTGCGTTGGGGTCCGAGTGGCAGTGAGTGAGGAATGAGGGAGGTCAGGGATTGCTGACTAAGGTGAGTAAATGGTTTAGGGTTTATGGACTCTGGTTGGGGGAGTTATTTGGTAATGGTCCATTATGATCCAAGTTGATGGGGGTTGGTGTCGTTCCCTCTGTTAAAAGTGTTCTAAAAATGTCTACGATCGAGTAAATAGCTTTACGAATAAATGGATCAGATCGAATTGGAAAATATAAAGAATTGAAAAGGTTATGTCTTTCGTTATCTTTTTGTGGAAAACCATTAGGTATTAATATGTTAAGCAACTGTAGCTCGATGCTTAAATAGTATTTCTCTCCATAAAAAAATCACAAAGAAAGAACAAATAGAGGAGGAAGAGCGGGGCCTCGATGCTTAAATAGTGGCCGTGATGAGAGAGGAAAGGAAAAGAGAGGGAGATTTTATTTTCTTTACCGTTTTTCTTTTTATTTATTCATTTTTATTGTGTTTAGAATTTTAAATTTTTAAAAATTAATAATCTACTACTAAAATATTTGTTTTTTAATATTTTTTTCTCAAATATTTTCTCAAATATTTTTTTATTTTTTTCTCAAATATTTGTTTTTTAATTTTTTTTAATGGAAGAAGTTATTTGTTTTAACGGGTTGGCACGTATCCGGCAAAGAAAAGGGATTGCCCAGTTAAGCTTTTATCTTTTTTAACTTTTATTTTAATTATGGTAATTACTGTTTTATCCTTATCTTATTCTCATTTTATTAGTTTGTGTTTTCTTTATGTTAATGTATGGAAGGACAATTTTGAAAAAGAGGTTGACAAGCAATGTTTTGTTAATAAATAGTATTGATTGATTGGGTAAATGGGTCTATACAAATGTCACATCAGCATATAAAAATATTTTTGATAGGATTGGATTGTAAAGCACGGTTAGATTGATGTATGACACTCATATTCAAAGACATTATTAATCAAATTTATATTTTAAAGACCATCATAGGATAGTTTAATTTCAGAAATAATTTGTGTTAAAATCCATAATTTTATATTTTTAATTTACCGGAAGAGTCAAACTTAATACGTAAGAGGTTGACAATGACATATTGTCCATCCTAGTCAGCTGATTAGCCCACATATGTAAATAATCCATCAATTAACTTGACCACAATTAAAAATGACCTTAAAGTGTCAATGAAAAAAATTGTGTTCATATTGGCAAAATTAAAAATAATAAGATGGTCGGGACTTGGCAGATGAAGAGGAATAACCTAAACTTTTATCATATGTGCTATTGAAATAGGGTAGTCACATAAATCAAAAGTGATATTAGGTCAAAATCAGTCACAATAAATGTTTTTTTACCCTCTAGTTAATTTTTATTAAATTAGGTAAAACATACTAATAATTATAAATTTTATAACTCCAAAAATCCAATTGGAGAAAGAAAAAAAAAACCCTTAACTAACAACTTGTTATGTTGTAATGTTTTATTTATTTATTTATTTTATTTCATTAATGTTGTAATGTTCTAACCAAATCTCAATCATGGCAATACTTAAGAACAGTTTGATAACTATTTCGTTTTTCATTTTTTATTTTTTATTTTTTTAATTAAAAATTTGTTTGGTAATTAATTACTTTTTTTTTTAATTGAAAATTTGTTTGGTAATTAATTACTTATTTGAGTTTGTTGAAAAATTAGCTCCGGTTTCCTAAGATATTAAATCGGTCTGGTTCAGACCAGGCTTGGGTTGAAATAGAAGGTTGGCCCGTGACGACCCATTTTCCAGACCCAGAAATAAATAGAGGAAAACAAGAGACTCACCGTAAGCAGTGAAACACACAAAGCGAAGCAACATCAAGGAGGCGAACCGCCATTTGAAGCTCCATGGTATGGACCCTCTCTCTCACTCTCTATCTATCTATCTATCTATCTCTCGTTGTAATTTACACAGCTTGTGCCTTGCTACTTCCCAGGATTACCTGAAATCCGTGGTTCCCTCACAGCTGCTCTCCGAGCGAGGATCCAATCTGGTCATCATCAACCCAGGTACCTAATTTCCCACTTTTTTACAGCTCCATTCGATTTTTCAGCATAAACCCATCAAAGTTTACAAAGCAAATCGCAAAACCCACATCCCCATTTCAAATTTTAGTCACTAATTTTTGTCCTTTCAATTTTGGGTTGTTGTTGTTTTGGGAGCTCAGGTTCTGCAAACATCAGAATTGGCCTTGCTTCGAAGGACACCCCTCTTAATATTCCACATTGCATCGCATGGCACACCACGCAGGAGCCCAGGAGAAATGTTCAAGACCAGGTTTCGTGTTGTTCCTTAAACTTTACGTACTATTTTAGTGTTTCGTAGGGTTCGGTCGCGATTGATTGTTGATGTTTTTAGTTTCTTTTGGATTGCTTTTGGGTTTCAGCTGCTCAATACTCAAGTTACGACTACGCAGTACATGGAGCGGGAAAAGGCCTACGATATGGTGAGTCTATGCGCATTGCTTTGTTTGATGCGTTAACTTGTTAGATTTGTATTTGGAGTTTGAATTTAAGCTTTATTGTTTCTGCCATTTTGAAGATTGCGTCGTTCTTGAAGATTCCGTTTATAGATGAAGAGGTTGGAAATAATTCTTACCCACGCAAGGTACGCATATTTTCTGCTTGAAATTAGCATTGTGTTTGTTCGTTTTCATACAGATAGTGCGCTATGCACCTTCCCTACCAATGTAAAAGGAGCTTGATCTTTATGATTTGGACATTGGTGATTATGTGTTTTGTTCATTGAAAATGAAATGATGAAGCTGATGTGCAGATGGGACGCGTTGATGGACTTAATCCACAGAATAGTAGAAAGGACACATCATTTGATTGGACAGATGTGTACCAAAAGGAACCTAGTTCGTCTTCAGCATTAGGTCATACAAGAGTCCTTGTATATCAGTTGTTCTACTTTTCTTGATTGCGTGTATGGACATTTAACTTGATATTATTCCACTGCAACCGATATTGTCTTATTTGGCACACATTTCCTCAAATAGTCATGTTAACTGTGCAGAAAGTTCAGAGAATAAAGGCACAACTAGCGAGTCTTTAGGCCAGCACAGAGATGCAAATACTGAGGAGCTTGGCTCTAGCAATCACAAATACAAAAAGGTCATCTATGGTGAGGAAGCACTAAAAATATCCCCCATGGCACCATATACCTTACATCGTCCTATACGTAGAGGTCACCTAAATATTTCGCTACATTATCCCATGCAGCAGGTACAGTTCCTGTTTTCATTATCATTTTAACTCAGAGATATGAATCGACTTTGGTTGAGTTGCCATTGTAGAATTTCAACTTCACATGGGTTCTGATTACATCTTCTCCTAAGAAATTTTTGGGATGACATGTGACATGTTTCATCACAATAAATTGAGAAAATCTAGTAATTTAAACTTTTATGCTTTAATGCATTATTCAATACATAAAAGTAAAAGTTTCTAATTTTCATGAGATACTGAATCTCATTTACATTTTGCATGTTTTGTTAGGTACTTGAAGACGTACATGCTATTTGGGATTTTATTTTGACAGAGAAACTGCACATCCCTCTACATGAAAGACACAAGTATGCAGCTATGCTCGTCCTTCCAGAAACATTTGATAATCGAGGTACTCAAAATTGTAGTCTGTTCTTTAGATTGAGAAATTACTCCTTTGTCCTCACATTTGTCTGTCTTAGTCATTGGACTTCCATGGCTATAAGTTGTTTTTATTTCAAAATTTGTATCCACTGCCATTTAGGATTGCCAACTGTTTCTATTTTTTAGAAATGCATTCCTACTTTATCTAGGTATTTTACTTCTTCTGTTTTAGTGGAAATATTTGCTAACACAAGGTGAGTGCTACACGATCTGCAAATCCTTTTACTTGATGAATGATGTGTGTCAATCAGAACTTATATGGATAACCGTAACTTTATGTAAAGAATTTTTTTCCATCTCACTGAAGAAGAGGTTCTTCCTAAGTATACTAGTGACAACAAGAAAAATTCATTTAGAACTAGCCTGTTTCAACTTGAAGTTCGACATATCCTTCCTCATTATCCAAGTTGGACATATCCTTCCTCATTATCAGTTTATCCTATAAGAAAAAAAATGCTTTTATCAAAACCCCCGTTTTGCATCCTTCTCAAAGAGCTTATAAGTTTCGTTGAGCTGATATCAATTTTACCAGGGGACTACACAATTTGGATATAGAAATGTTTGGACTCTGCTATTACTGAAACAACTTGTTATTATTGTTACAATACGTAGTGGTGATAATTTGCATATCATGTTGTAGTTTGTAGCTTTCTGTTCATAACAATGTCCTTCTATCTAATTGGTGTTATCTATTTAAAGGTCTCTGCTAGTTGGTTTTGTAATGCCTTTCCACAAGGAAGTGTGAACTGTGTTTTCCAATATACTAGGTGGCACTGCAATTTACTTTACAATGTTTATCTGACACATTAGGTGTAACTGTAGGGTGTAACCATCTTTATCTAACTTTAAAGACAAAATACAACTTCACCATTTTGCCTTGGATTTATGATTCATCTCACACCTGTTGTGCAATCAGTAGTGTCTTTTTATGTGAAACGGAAATCATGTCAATGTACTAAATGATACATCCTTTAACCATAACAACAATGTATCATACAGTTTATACTCCCTTGCGCTTCTGTGATTTTTTTTATTTATCTTGGCCTATTCTAATTCTGTTTATGGAAATTTATTGTTTGCTTGAATATATAAAAACATTGCCTTGGGAAACTATGGTCATATTTTATAATTTGTCATTTTCTCCAAGCAGAAATAAAGGAATTGTTGTCAATAGTCTTGCGTGACTTGCGTTTTAGCTCAGCAGTGGTACATCAGGTGGGGAAATTTTTTCTGTATAAATCTATGCTCAATGAGATAATGCCACAATTAGAGTTATCATTTAACTTTTCTATTTTTTTCTCAGTGCTATTGACAATCTTTTTCCTCAATTGATGATTTCCTATTTTTGCAGTACAAATTGTTGTGTGTCACTGACTCTTCATGGTCTCACCCTTGTACATGATGATTTTATTGTGTTCGTTACCACAGGAAGGTCTAGCTGCAGCTTTTGGGAATGGATTATCAACAGCTTGTGTTGTTAAGATGGGTGCTCAGGTGACATCAGTTATTTGCATTGAGGTAACTGCCATTTCCATACCTTCTCTTCCCATCTATTTAACATAAAGAAAGAAACTCAAAAAGCATAAATATATCATTCCATACAGTCCCTGCATATCTGTTCATGCTTTCAGAACCAACATGAAAAAATGCATGCTTAGTTATTCAGTTAGAGGCATTTCCTAAAATCACTTTTGTATGTGTGTGTATGCATGTATGTATATGTATTGGATTTAGCAAATGAGTGTGCGTGTGTGTGAGCTTCAATTAAGGGATCCCTCAAATGAGGTTACTTTACACTGTCACTGCCATCTCTCTTTTCTTTCGCAAGTGTGTTATTACTTTTAAACATCCTTTATAAAATTTCATGCTGAATAAATAAAAGAAAAACTAACTCCTTTTGTAGCTTTTTGGTCTTATATCAATAGCATGCTGAATTATGCCTAAATCATTAGAGTTGGTCTTCCACTTATGATAATGTATCGTTTGTCTCTTCTGTTGTCCAGGATGGAGCAGCTTTACCTCATACAGAGAAAACTTTACCTTTTGGTGGAGAGGTGGGTTCTGTTTTAGAATTTCTGAAGTTTTGACTAGCTAGTAGCTACAAGAATGAAATAAATATTCTACCCTTGTTTCTGTAACTGTTGCTCATCCATGTTAACTAAAACCCTAAAAAGATGATGTTCACACTCAGTAGCTGTTTCTTAATGATGCAAAGCTTGAAGTCTTTATTTTTACGATTCATCGCATGATTCATATCTTACTCTTCATCACACTTGTTCTTTTGCGTATTTGCTTCTCAAATTTTTCTTCTCTCTTGATGGTGATATATATCATGTTTTATTCTTTTGAATTGGTATGTCCTTCAAATTCCTTCAGTTTGTGCTTACAATGTGATGGTGCATCAATTCCTCTTTAGCACATCAGCACTGGGCTAATTCTGCCATCATGTATTTATTCCACTGCAAAGGCCTTTTAGTTCTTCTTTGTTAACTTGCTCATCTTGTAACCTCTTTCTTTACCTTTTAATTTCCCGTTAATGAAATAAATGTTGATTTAACAAGTTTCATGTTCCATCCAACCTTTTCTTTGTGAAGTTAAATTGTATGTGTATTTTTTCAGGACATTTCAAGATGCCTTCTTTGGACTCAAAGACATCATCAGACATGGCCACAAATTCGTACTGACATGTTCACCAAGCCGATAGATCTCTTGATGCTTAACAGACTAAAAGAGTCTTATTGTGAGATTAAAGTTAGTTCTCTTACTTGTTTCTTGTTTGGTCTTGGATTTTCTATGTAATGTATCTTCTGTCATCTGCCCTAGTTTCTTTTAGTGATACATGATTCACGCCAGTAATACATGCATGCATATACATATGGACAAGAAGTCCATCTGAGGAAAGCCAAAAGATGCTTAAAAGTACCAAAAAACAAAAATTATTACAGAGCTCCCGCTAGTCTAGATGAATTGGAACATTGGTTGTAGACATGACGTCCCAAAGAGAGGCAGGTTGAGTATCACACTATCATGCTAGTGATGATTCTCTTAAACTAGGTTATACCTTCAGTAATGTTGTGTATGATGCCATCTAGATTTTTTTGGCCACCCTACACTCTAGTGGGGTTGTATGTATGTATAATATTTCTGTGTTCAGTTTTCAATTAATGTAATTATCTCGTGAGGACTACCTACAAGACAACGCACACATATGTTATGTCTTATTTCATAACTTTGATCCAATAGGTGGTTTTCCTTTTTATAAGTTTGTTTTCTCCCCCTGTATGTTTTGTTTGAAAAAAAAAAATTATTATAAGTAACGAGCCAATCATATTTTCTTTCCAGAATATATGAAGATCTAGTATACAATTTGAGGTTTCACAGTGCAATGAAAAGTTAAAAGAAAGCTTTTCAGGTCATGGTGAATCATCTATAGAACACAGATGTGAAGCTAATTCTCTATAACGTAATCATATATTCAGGTCTGTCAAAGTCCCTTCATGTTGAAAGAAGGTTTATTATCGAGTGCTTGATTTAAAAGGCTATATTTTAGTAATTGAATTGAATGGAGTGTATGGCCAAATAGTGTAGAATGTGTTGGACAAGGGTCCTTTACCTTGGTTCTTGGGTTTTGCTTTTCAAATTACTTAGTTTCCTTTATACAGGAGGGGGAGCTTGATGCTGTTGGTGTAGTTCATTCTTATGAAGATGGCATGCCAGCTGGATCTCATAAGACAAGATTAACTGCTCTCAATGTGTGTCTCTTAAAGTGAATTATAGCTGCCTTAATCCTAAAATATAACTTTCAGGGAACAAAATTTATTATAATTTTATGTTGCATAGGTCCCTCCTATGGGTTTGTTCTTCCCAATGCTTTTGGTCCCAGATGCATATCCTCCACCGCCAAGTGTTTGGTCAGTAATGTTTTCCAAGCTAAACTTCTCTGCAACATAATAATAATTGGGATAAATTAGTCATTCTTGATAAATATTCGATTGGTTAATTGCATAGGTTTCGTGACTATGAAGACATGCTAGAAGATACGTGGCACATGGAATTTCCCAGAAGACCTGAAATGTCAGATGGCTTGTTTTCCAGCATGAATACCGGGTATCCAATGTGGGACAGCTACCCAGCTTTTTCAGCTAAACCAAAGAAAGAAGAAAAAATTGGCCTTGCAGAAGCCATAACGAGTAGCATTCTTTCAACAGGTAGGTTTCTAGAGTGTCACTTACAATGCTTTTCTATCTGATACCTAAGCACCACTTGGTGGTTTGTTGACAGGACGTATAGACCTCCAAAGAAAATTGTTCTGCAGTATACTATTGGTGAGTTTGTCACTTAAGATATACAATGTGTTTCTATATTTGCTTACTTGGTGTAGAAATGAAGAAATGACCTATTTCATGTTTTAGATTGGTGGAGTGGCTTTGACAAGAGGTCTTGTTCCTGCAGTGGAGGAAAGGTCAGTTCATCTTAAACAAGCCTACTTATTTGATTAATATTTGTGATTATGGTTATGCTTATGATGTTCTAATACGGTATCAGAGCCAGGTTCGCCCACTTGTGAATCCCAACAATACACGTGTCTATGTCACCCAATGTGTTCTCCATGTGTTTGCCTCGAGTATCGCCACACGTGAGGGTGCATGGAGAGTTGTCTCACATTGGAAAGTTAAGGAAACCTTGAATGGAATCATGAGTATGGTTACTCCTCCCACTGCCAATTGGTTTTGGGTGTAACCTCAACTTCCTTTAGAGAAACCCACCAATGTGGAGTTTGATTCCTTGGCGTAGAATTTTGCTAAGTTAGACTTGTGGTTTATGTTCATAAACTCATAGCTTAGGCAATTAAGCTTCGTGTTTGCACAATGCAAGATGAATAGTAGTTGTTGGGATGGCGAGTTTTTAGTTCATAGGTCTCAGTCTCCATGCTTGGAAAAGTTGTTTGCTGTGTGCCCCTCTTTACGTTGACCCTAGCACAACTTTCTGCTGAATTTCTGGTTTTTAAGTACACACCAATAAAATTGGATACTTATGCGAGCTTGATATGCCCGTGTGCTTATTTAATAAAGGCTATTGAATGGGGATGGACCGTTCACGCAAGAGATACAGACACCCTTATAAGATTAAATTATCATTCTCCTTTTGGCAGGGTTTTACATGCAATTCCTTCAAATGAAGCGATTGATACTGTTGAGGTTAGTTTATTACTTATATCCTCGATGGTTTTAATCCTTTTCTTTTTTTTTTCTTGTAACCGAAATAAACTCGACCATAGTTTTTCATATGTGGTCTATATCATGTTAAATAGGTCTTGCAATCAAGATCAAATCCAACTTTTGTACCATGGAAAGGTGGTGCGGTAAGTCAAGCATCCTCTACCTTTTTAATACATAGTTGTATGCATCTTATGTAGTTGGTGATTGTAGGGAGAGGTTACCGTTTTAGTATATACTTGTGCGCTTGTTTTAGTTGTCTGTCTGTGGCTAATGGCATCCACCAAACGTGTCTTTTGCTGGTTGCACTTTTCATCAAGTTACCAACTTAGCATGTACTGTGCTTCACAACAGATTCTTGGAATTCTTGATATTGGTCGGGATGCTTGGATACATCGTGACGACTGGATTCGCAATGGGATTCACATTGGAAGTGGGAGAAAGTACAAGGACTCTTATTTTCTTCAAGCACAGGCAATGTGTTACATTAATTCGTAGAAGGTGACACCTGCTCTTAATTACATGAACTTAATTGAAGATGCTATCGGCTCCCTAGTAATGTCAATGTTAGTCGGGGCTTTGGCAGTTAACCGACTCTGTAACTTATTTAGTCTTTCAGACGAAAGCATTGGGTGCCCGTAAAGAGGCAATGCATCTTTCTTTTTACTACTCTAAAAGCGTTAATCATTTTCCTTTGTTAAAACAAGAGTAAATTGCCATTTATCTCAACTTAAATTACTAGGTAGCTGCCAGTATGCCCTATGAACTAACCTTCAAGCAATTTACTTGTTAAACTATTAGGTTTATGTAGTTTAGGGTAGGGGCCAAATTGGCTTAAAATTTCACTTACTCCAGTCCCACATCGATGAAACGAAGAGGGGCGAGGAAGGACGTGGTACAAAATGGAGGCGGTGGGGATATTCTGGGGTTTAAAAGGGTCAGTTGGCTAAATATGCCACTCACCCTTGATTGGTGAGTGCCGTATGGATATCAAGACATATGGCTGACATAATTTGTGGGAGTTCCTAGGGTTGGCTCGCTTTGGCCCACCCTCCATTTTTATTACTCACAATATTTTTCACACTTTAGAAATGTCCTTCGATGATTTATTTAACAGACATCCTCTTTTCCCTTCACAAAACAGTTTAACATCCGTATCGGCTACGAAAGTTGTTCTTTCATGCCTTCAAATCTAAAGTGAAATTTGAAGGTTTGGTTGGAGATGTTCTTAGAAGCCTCCGCCAGTTAGATAGATCTCTCACGTGCTCAATGCACCATATGGCAATGATTCTTACCAAACACAAGCAAGTGATACAGTTTTTTATTTTTATTTTTTTTTACATTTTGTCTTCTCTCTCCTCTTAGTTGTACGAATCACAAATAAAAGACGCTATTAAAACTGTGCATTGAATGCAAGCGAGCTTCTCTACAATATGACTCAACAAGTCATTTAAATCAACTAGTTTGGCAGGAGTGGCCTAGTCACTACCAAGTGCCAAACGTGTCCCATCCCCTCTAATTCTGGGCTCCCAAATAATAGACGTACACAGATTAGACGGCTTGTAATTCATAATCTATGATTAGTATTTCAATTTGATTTCAGGAGGAAGGCAATCCAATAATACAAACGGGGAGGCGATTCTTTGGTGGTCTAAAAAGTAATATTTTTAAAGCATCTCCAATAAAAATGTCAAATGTCTAAAACAGGAATCAAATTCCTGATAGAATGCCATGTGGTAAAATTTGAAGGCATGATGAAACCCTATTTGGCATGTCAAACTAAAATGTCAAATTTCATTTTTATAGTTGATATTACAAAATAACATTTTGAAAAGTCTCTTATTCCAACCGACTAATGGAGATGTCAAATCAAAATGGTTTTTTGTTATTTACAAAATCAAGTGGGTCAAAATTGAAGAAATAATAATTAATAAGTGAAGAAAAATAAAGAAACATGAGGGCTCTAAAAACAAATTGGCATTGCTTTACATCTTTTTGGTGATGCTTCAACTTCTTTAGAAGCACTTATTATAAAGTGATAGCACGCCAAGAATTTAATTGAATAGGAAACACTTTAGTACATTATTCACGTGAACACTCTCTCCATAGGGCACTCGTGTAGGAAGGACATTTAATTTAAGACCATCTCCAACCGAAAAGTCCAGAAGGCCGAAAATAACCTTAAAATCGTCTCCAATTGAGGTCAGGCCAAAGGGCTCGTGGGCCCCACTGGACAAAAAAGGGTCAAAGGGCCAATTGGACGGGCTAAAAATTTTGAATCTCAATGGCTAGTTGACATCAGCTAGCCGTTACTTTTTATTTTTTTTACATTTTTTTTGGCCAAAAATTTAAAAATAATATTTAATTAAGGCCCAAAAAGGTGATTGGTTTTATGTGGGGATGTTGCTTTTATAAGCATGTTTGATTGCTCAAACCTCTCCCATAATTGATCTGGGACAAATATAATGGGTGTCACACATGCAAGTTTTTGCTTGCTCAATTCTCTCCCGATGTGGGACAAATATAATGGGTGCCCCAAATATAAGCTTCCTATTAGAGATGGTAAATGTGCATTTATACATGTAACTATCTCAAACTAAGCTGTACTAGTATTTGGACACTTAAATTAAAAAATTAATTTAATATACAACTATTAACCGTCACAAGTAGACATGAAAGCGGTGCCAATTACTGACACATCCAGACCTGGAAAGTCCAATTGGACTTCGAATCGAGTTGTGATGGGCGACACCTTGAGGTGACCTAACCATAAGGGTAAGTGATGAGAAAAAGTGAATAAATTAAAACTAAACTAGAACTAATTAAAATTCAACAGTGAAAGAGTGCGCAGTCGTGGGTGCACATCACCCCCTATCCGTTGGTCGATGTGGGATGTGACAATTACTACGACGAAGTGTTTTCACAATTTTATTTTAAATATTTAATTATCTTACATTTAATTTAAGTTGTTGTAGCTTTTAAATTTTAGTAATAAATTATGTTTGACCCTTGGTTGGATATAGTAAGAAATATGGTCTTGTTCATTAAAATATTAATTTCTTAGAGAACCAGAAAGCTAAAACGAACCATCTGAACAACCTTCAATTGGTGCTAAACGTAAATGTGAGCATATATACATTGCCTAGAACAAATTTATTTCCGATAAACGTCCAAGATCACTTTTACACATATTTTAATGAGTGTTGTTATTGGCACTAGCACTTACTGCAAAGTGAAAATTTTCAGCCACATTTCGAAAGAAAATTGAGGGTAAATAATCTATTTCTTATTTCCTTAGCTTTCTTATGTAGTCTTACATAAAATGATTCACACATTTGACCACTGAAATCATCAAATTTCAATTCAAACCTCTTGAGTTTCAAATTATTCCCTAAATGCCCCACTAAATCGGAGAAGATGACAGACTCAGAGCTTTGCCTTTGGAGTAGCAATCGCCACTCCAAGCACTCCACACAACTCCGGATACAAGCTCTTCCTGATCTCCGCGTAAACGTCGCCGTTCCACTTCCTCTTCCCCAACTGCTCCCCCAGGCGCACCGCAGCCTCCACCGTGCTCTCCGCGCTATCGTGCGCCGACTCCACGATCCCCATTTTCACCGCCTCCTCTCCCTTCACCTTCATCCCCCTCAGCATCACGTCCCTCCGACCCGACACCGACCCGATCTTCGACCGAAACGCCGCCGTGAAGTAGTCCGGGAACGGCAGCCCCAAATCGACCTCGCTCATGTACAGCACACCTCTGTCGCGCCTCATCAGGAAGTAATCGTGGCTCAGGGCGAACAAGAAGCCGGCTGCGGCGGCGTGGCCTTGGACTGCGGCGATCGTCGGCATCGGGAGCGAGAGGAGCGCGACGACGACCGGCTTGAAGGCGAGGACCATTTGATTGAGGCGGGCACGGGCAGCGGTGGCGGAGCCGGCGGATTGGGCCCAGCCGAGGTCGAAGCCATTAGAGAAGAACTTGCCTTGGGCGGTGGTGATGAGGACGGAGCCGCGCGTGGCTTGGGACTTGGCTTCGGCGATGGCGGAGAGGAGGGAGTCGATGATTGGGAGGCCGAGGCGGTGGTCGTCGTCTCCGGTGAGGGTTAGGAAGAAGAGATCGCCGCGCTTCTCTAATGTGCACATTGCTTTTGCTGCAGCTGAGGAGAGTCCTTTGGGTTGTGTCTTGGTTTTCTCGTTATCTTTTTTTTTATTATGACTTTTTTGTTTATTCGTAATCGGGTCACACTTGCAAATACCAACCAATCCGGTTCGTACCCGGTTTAGTTTGGGTTTGAAAGACCGGGAAAGATTTGGCGCTGACTCCATAGTTTTGTACTCTTTCGCCTAACTTTTTACCTCTTTCCCTTTTTCTCTAAAATTTAATTATAATGGTATTTATTTCCCTCTTGAATAATATTATTTGTTTTTAATTGGGCATTGGCAATAATTTAATTACAACATTGATGGATGTTGCAAAGGGGTGGTCAATTTTATTGGATCTCTCGGAGTCCCCTATGAAGAAAAGAGGGAGAGGGTTTTGAACAAGTTCAACGACACCGAAGGGGAAATGGTAAGCTACAAGGATCACATTCTGTTTCTTTGCTGTCATAGTTTGTCAGCAATCTTCTTGCTAGTTAGAATATTTTGGGAATGTATTATGTTTCAGGTGTTGCTGACGTCCATGAAAACCCCCATCTTTGTAGCTATAATTTGGATGTTTCTGGTAACACTAATCATTTCATCCCTGATGTTAAAAACATCGTCTTTGCCCTTTTTTAGGATCCGTGGTGGAATCCTGCAGTCGAGGAGAGGGGCAAGCGATCATGAGAATTCATCGCATTGGACAACTGATCCCGAAACACGAGCGATTGAGAAGCTCAAAAAGATTTGCTTTGCGCATTGCAGGACACGGTGGACGAGCGAATGCAACAAGTCTAGGCGAGGAAGCAGAGAATGATCGCCGGAGCTCTCACCGACAAGGAAGAGTTCGATATGCCGGAATTGATGAGCTCAAAATGCTTTTCACCTAGGTCATCATACAAGGATGTTCAAAAGAGAAAGTTTGCATTTGGGGATTTTCTCTGTGTAAATCATGGGGCTCTCTCTTTGTATTCATATTTTTGGTCCTAGAAATTTAGCATACTTATGCAAAAATGCCTCTTGCACGCACGCACGTTAGTGCGTGCAGAGAGGCTAGTAAATAATTAAATATGCGAGTATTCTGGGAAAATGACGTTTATACCCTTTGAGACAGAGACTATCTGGTTTGACTAGGTATTTCTGTAATTTTCCCAAATGCTAGAGGACTAGGTATTTCTGTAATTTTCCCAACGGCTCTGATATTGGTTACGTGGTCACTTGTAAGCCTTAATCAACACCATTAGTTTTAATGGTGTTGATTAAGGCTTACAAGTGACCACGTAACCATCATCAGAGCTGTTGGTCGGAGATAGTTGACACGTCGTTCTTTTTTGATGTCGTCCAACCAGATAATAATAATAATAATAAACTAATTAATAAAAAAAGGTCAAAATCCAGGGGAGCAAAAACTGCAAGCTGCAAGCGTTACACGGTAATGCCCAAAACAGTCGGTGGTGGGGCCCACGTCTAAATTGGTAGCGTAAAATCTAGATGCCTTTCGGTTGGGAGGTTTTGTTGGCTCGGTCGTAGCTCCAGCTGCCTACTCGCTTTTCGGCTCAGCTTCATATTTTTATTTTATTATTATTAAATAAAGAGTTCAAAACAATTACAATAATTGTAGGAGATGATAAAGGTTTGAACATGGAAGTAGAAATTAACAGTGTATCCACTAGTACATGTACTCATCCTCAGATTGTCTGCACTTTCCGATATTCCATTGTTAAAGTTTGGGAGGAGAAGGGAAGCTTCACCATTGACATACGCGTAAAACGTTGAAATTGTTGCATTGTTTTCATTTAGTTGATGCATTTCATGATGGGATCTTCGTTTAGGCGCGCAAGTTTTTTTCTTTCAACTGTTTATTTTGTTTTATTTTATTTTTCAAATAAGTCAAGTTCAAGTAGGGGTGGGTTTAGAAACCAAAAATCGAAAAAAATCTGACTAAACACTGAACCGAAATTGAAAAAAAAAAAAAAAAAAAAAAAAAAAAACCGAACCTTATTGGCTTAGTTTCAATTTTGGAGGTTTGGGAAACCGAACCGAACCGAATCTCTTTACACTTTATAAATGTATGCCCCTAATGTTTCTTTTGTAAAACTTTGTTGCCAAGTTTGAAACTAAGCCTAAGGCTTTTTCAAGGTATTGGTTCAATTAGGGAGGATATTTCATTGGTTATAAAAGAAAGTTTTGGAAGACTTTGGAACTTGGAAAGACTTATCTATTTGTTTGTTTTTTTTAATGAATACGGTGATCATTTTTCTTTGCAGTTGATGTTGTTGATAGAATAGAATTGGTTTATATGATATTGTATATATACTACCTTCCCACTTTCCACTTTCCCATTTTCTTATTATTATCTAACAATGCAAGCCTCTTTTCTAAACTCCATATTAAAAAATATCAAGTTTTATAAAATAAGAAAAACCAAAAGCGAACAAAACCAAACAAAAAAGAAAAACCAAACTGAAAAAAAAAAAAAAAAACTGAAAAAAAAATTGAACCGAATCAAACTGAACCGAAATTTCAGTTTTGGCAAAAACCGAACCGAATGAATTCGAACCCACCCCTAAGTTTAACTTGTTATTTGAAACTTAAATCATATGAACTATTCAAAAAGGCCAAACTAAATAACCTGATTGGTTTACAAAAAATAAAATAATAATTCGAGTGGTTTGGTTAGTTTTTACATTCATCTATCTCCCCTTCTCAAAATTTCTTTACATTTAATGGGTAAACAACTTCTCAATCATTACCTAACTTTCAGTACGAAGTTTCCTTTTTTTTTTTTTTTTTTTTTTTTTTTTTTTTGAAAATTAGAAGCATTTCATTTCCAGGGCTGTAGCCAAAAGAGCAAAGGAAGCCAACCAAGGCTAACAACATCTGAACATAGAGAATCCCCTTGCACGCATCCTTCCTATTTAGGTCTCTTTTTCACTAATTTTGAGTCTTTCGATCAAAATAACTTTACTACTGCCTGATTGAAATTGGATAATAACTTAGTTAAACCAGTCCAAATTAATCACTAAGTGATTAGTTATGCCAATGGTTTGATGCCTAAACCAAAACCATGATGTTGTAGTGGTACGAAGTGTTGTTGTTCGAGGTTTAATCAAACCAAATAAAGACTGCAACTAGCCCTAATTAGCCTAATTTCTATGTCACACAAATCAAATATATATTAATGCACTAAAATATTGTCCATAAGCACAGTGTCAGTGTAGTTCCAATTTTGCCCTCGCTTAGTTTGTGTTATTACAAGTCTTGAATGTCTCTTCGGTTTGCTGAGTTTCCGAGCGATCGTCCACTCCCTTCGACATCATATACCTGGGATTTGGATCCTCTCCGGATCCCTCTCTGGGGATCTCGAGGATCAAGGCACAAGAACCGTTCATCAAAGATCGTGCAGCCACAATTAAATACTTTTTATATTTTTAACAATAAAGCAATCTTGTTTTACGTTAAAAACATTTAATTATAGATGCACGATCTTTAATGAACGACCCTTATGTCTTGATCCCGGATCCCAAGGGAGGGGATCAGGAGAGGATCCAAATCCATATACCTGAAGCGAGAAAACTCAATTTTCTCCTCTACTGGTTTGTTCTTGCTCAACTTGGATTCAAACCAAAAATCTTCCCACCGAGTCCGACCTTATTTCTCTATGCTCCTTGCTTCCCCTAACCCTAGAATCCAAATTTCAGGAGCGAATTCGCTCGAGATCGTTCCAATTCTTGGTTGTGATGAATTTGATTTGATTGAGAATATGTGACCGTGATCAGAATCATGGGTCTTGTAAACCCCTAAACTCCAACATTTCTCCGCTTATGATGTGTGTGAGTGACGTGAATGTTAAATCCAGTTTGGTGATAAGGTAAACAAAAAACCAAATTGTTTTTTATTTCTTAAAAAGTGAAAAAAAACCAATTCAGTCTTCAAATGTTGAAAATCTGGAAAATCGGTTAAACCAAAACGTACCCAAAACGAAGTAAAAATTAACGCGCGTTCCGTGTGTTTGAGAGTCGTATTTTGTTGGAGTGATACAGCCAAAGTCGGGGCTTGAAGGAGCCAAAGCCGCGTGCCAACCATACGCCTTTCTCTCTCCTCCCTCTCCCTCGCTTATACATATTCACACCCCCTCACCACTTCCTTACGTAGTTCCATCTGTTGCACACCAAATCCCAAATCCATCGCGCTCTCTCTCTCCCGTCCGAGATCTCAGCCAAATCAAATCAATGGCAGAAGCACCGCGACCGAGTTCCGGCAACCGCCGCCAGCCCAGCCGCCTCCAGCGGCGAGCCCCGCCCCCGTCTTCCCTTCAAATAGACCGCGTCCCCGATTGGAATGTCGCCATCCCCCTCCTCTCCCCTCTTGTCTCCCCCGATCAACCGATCGAGACCAAATCCCGTGACGACTCGCGGTACCAGCGCCAGCACCAGCAGAAGGAGCTCCCGCGCCACCATCATCAGGGCGCGGAGGCTGACAAGTCGGCGCAGGTGGCGGTGTTCAAGAAGTGGCAGCACCCTGCGGCTCCGTTTTGCTACGAGCCGGCTCAGATGGTCCGGCCTTTCGTTCCTGTGTAGTTGGTCAGCCGGATTCAATCTAATTTAGAAGGGTTCTGATGGACCCTTATTAATTTGTAAAAACAGTCTGTGTAGATCTCATCTAACGGTGTATATGCGTTCATCTTAGTCGATTTGTGATCAAGCATGCACCTGATTTTGCCAATTGTTTCGTACATATTCCCCTAGAAAATTTGCTAATTCCTATTTGGGTTCGTTTGTTGATTAATGCTATGATTCCTTTATCAATACGTAATGTGTGTATAATCAGAATATAAATTGAATTGAATTAACTCTTATATCAATTTGTATTTATCAGAATGCGAGGAATTGGATTGAGAGTTTAAAATGGATGGAGTCAAATTTAAATCCTACTCATGAAGCTGTTTACTATAATTTTCTAAAATCAGAGGGGGAATTAGGGGTTGGGGGAAAAGTTCATGAGATGCCATTTTCGTGGTGGAAGGGGGATGCTTTGGTGAATCATTGAATCCAACGGTCATGATTCAGTCAAAG